TGGTATAGGAGTTGATGAGGTCTGCTTCAATTCAAATTAGGATTTGATCAATGGATTCGAGTTGAGGCAGTTGCAATGAGTGGAGGAATTTGGATTTTGGGGAAGGATGATGTGAATGCGACTCTTGTAAGAACTTATTCCTAGTTAATCCTCATGAGATTAGGAATGGCAACGGAAGTTGCTGGAATATTGCTTTTGTTTATGGGAACCTAGATAGATCTCTTCGTAAGAGGCTTTGGAATGAACTTTGCACAGGGGAAAATCAAAATTGTAACCCATCCATGGATTGTTTTGGGTGATTTCAACGCGGTGATGAGCATAGATGAGGTTAATTGCCAGGGAGTTTTTAATGATCAAAGAAGTAGGGAATTCAATGCATGGATTGATAAGGAGTGCCTCATTGATTTAGGTTACACTGGGCCTAAATTCACCTAGAAACGGGGGCAAAACACGGTGACCTTCCGGGCGGCAAGATTGGATCATGACCTTTGCACAGAATCTTGGCTGGGTTGTTTCCCGAATGCAAAAGTCACCCATCTCCAGAGCACCTCGTCGAACCATAACCCGATTATCTTGGAGGTGGAACTGAGAAGCACCAACCACATTGAGAGGAGATTCCAGTTCCAAGCTTTCTAGACTACTCACATGGATTTCCTTAGGGTGGTCAAAGGTGCCTAGAAAAAGGGAAGTTTCTTATCTCATAACATTAATAGTGTTAGGCATGCCCTAAATGTATGGAATTTTGATGTGTTTGGAAACATTGAATGCAGGAAGCGTAGGTTGACCGCTTGGCTTGAAGGAATTCATCGTAAAATGGAAAGTGAGCAAAACAATCACTACTGGAAATTATGAAATTTCTGACCACCTGAAAGTGATCTTAAATCAAGGCGAAAGCCTTGTTCCGACCACTTTTGGTATCCGGAAAAACCTTTGTTGCTATTTCCGACCACTTTTTGGTTTCAACTTGATTTAAGATCATTTTCAGGTGGTCGGAAATTTCATAATTTCCAGTAGTGAATAATCTATTGTGCCTCGACAATAAGTTGCGTAAGGAGCTAGAAGAAGTTTTATACCAAGAAGAACTCATGTGGTTTCAGGGATCTTGCGAAGACCGGATTGTCTCCGGAGATAGAAATACTAAGCACTACCATGCAGCCACGAATTGAAAGCAAGACGGTCGATAAATAAAGTTACAACCCTTATCACTAATGAAGGAAGCTAGATTGACAACAATGAGGAGCTAAAACAAATGATCTTTCAACATTTTCAAAAGATCACTAAGGAGGTTACCCATGCTTAGCATACCATTATGCACAACTGGTTCTCTAAAGTGCCTAATGAATTGCTCAGATTGGTTTGCAGGGAAGTTAGTCATGAGGAAGTGAAAGAAACCCTTTTCGATATGACGCCATTTAAAGCTCCGGGGCCGGATAGGTTCCATGGTGGGTTCTACCAAAAAGCATGAAACATGGTGGGACAAGACATTACAAAGATGGTGGAGGATTATTTTATAACCAGCAGTATGCACCATGAGTGGAACGACACCCTATTGGTGCTCATCCCCAAAGTGAAAAGACTGGAAAAAGTCAGCCAATTTCGCCCGATTAGCCTTTGTAATGTTAATTATAAGATCATTACAAAGATGGTTACAAATAGGCTCAAAAGTATGCTTGAGGAAATAATTGGAGAAGAGCAAAGTAGCTTTGTCCCTGGACGAAAAATTGTGGACAATATTGCTATCTACCAAGAAGTTCTTCATTCAATGCAAAATAGAAAAGGGGGAGTGGGGTGTATGATTCTAAAAATCGACCTTGAAAAGGCGTACGATAAACTCTCGTGAAGTTTCATTCGAGAAACCCTCTCTAGCATCGCTCTGGATAAACATTGGGTGGAACTCATCATGGGTTGTATTGAAACAACTAGGCTGAGCATCCTCTGGAAGGGTGAGCATTGGAGTGGATTACACCTTCCTGGGGGATAAGGCAAGGTGACCTAATGTCGCCTTATATTTTTGTCTTGTGCATCGAACGACTAAGCCATATGATAAAAGATGTTGTACGGGAAGGAAAGTGGAAGCGAGTCAAACTTGCCAGGTATGGTCTGATTCTCTCTCACTTACTATTTGCTGATGATATGGTTTTAATTGCAGAGGCTACAGAGGACTAAATGAACATGATCAAGGAGTGCCTTCAGGATTTTGAGGCTATCTTGGGGTGCGCCTTCAAAAATCACAGATTTTCTTCTCTTGCACTATTGATGTCCATGCGGCAAACAAGATTATCGAGATTGCCAAGATTGTGCAAGTTCGGGACCTGGGCCAGTACTTGAATTTGGTGTTCCTTCAATTCATGGGCGTCACAATAGCTACTTTTAATCCCATGATGGACAAAATCAATGCTAGATTAGAAGGATGGAAATGCATACACCTTACTCTGGCAGGTAGAAGCATTTTAGCTCAAAGCGTGCTCAATGCGATTCCTTACTATATAATGCAGACGATTCTTTTACTTGTGGGTGTGTGTGATACTATTGAGAAGAACATTCGAACTTTTCTTTGGGGAGAGAGCCAACATCTTGTTAATTGGGATAAAGTTACTTTGCCAAAATATATGGGAGGGCTAGTGTTGCGTAAGCTCAAACTTATGAACATTGCCTTCCTCACTAAAATGTCATGACGTCTTCTCAAAGGAAGGGGTGCTCTCTGGGAAATAGTACTCACTTCTAAGTACATGCAGAGAAGTAATTTCCAGACGGAGTTCAAGTGGAGAAATGATAGTTCCAACCTTTGGAAGGGGATTTGCAAGGCCAACGATGTGATTAAGTAGGGAACCCGTAAATGCATTCAGTCGAAAAAAAACGCTTTCTTTTTGTGTGATAAGTGGCTTTGTGAGCTTCCCCTCAGCTAGGAAGTTGACACAGAAATCCTGGAAGATGAAATCAATAACACAATATCTGATTATTGGATTTGTGGTAGGAGTGGGACTGGAATAAACTTAATAATATTCTGCCGAACCAAACCTTGAGCACTATTGGTCTTCATGAGATTGATGAACAAAATGTAGAGAATGATGAGGTTTACTGGGATAAAGAGAGAAATGAGAGATTCTCCATATCTTCAGCTTACACCCTTCTCAATGGTACCTCCCAACCTAGCCACAATAAGGATTGGCAACGTATATGGAAGGTAAAAGTGCCAAACAAGATCAGTGTTTTCCTTTGGCTCCTTAGCCATCAACATATCATGTGTAACTCGGAAAGGAAAAGAAGTGATGGATCTCAACGCTGCACTATGCTTACTTCCCGGGGGTCACCTATCCTGTGACTTCTATAAGTCAAGCATGCTTAACCACAAAGTTATTTGGCTATCTGGTTGTCATATCCTACTTAAAACCAATTTGTGATAAGTAGGTGGACATTAACCATTTAACCACATATTGATGCATAGTAAGCTACAACGCCACGTCTCGAATCGAGCAGGGGCTGAATTCGTCCAACCCACCTGACGCCTAACAATCCTCCTCCCAGCACTTGTCGCAACCTTCGAACACGAAACCCAGTTGCGCAGCATGCCTGACTCGGTCTTTAGCCTCCGCGCCCACTAATCCCCCTCCCGGGACTAGACTTGGCCTAACCTACGCCTACATTTCATCCGGTACTGGACTCGGTTTTCACCTCGCCATCGATTCGAACCCATGACCTCAGCTCTGATACCAATTGATGGATCTCAACGCTGCAGTATGCTTACTTCTAGGAAAGTCACCCATCCTGTAACTGTTGTAAGTCAAACATGTTTAACTATAGAGTTTTTTGTCTATCTGGTTGTCATATCCTACTTAAAATCAATTGGTGATAAGTAGGTGTACATTAACCATTTAATCACACCCGTCTATGGTAAGCCACAACACTACGCCTCGAATCGAGTTGGGGCTGAACTCGGTCAATCTGACCGACGCCTAACAAGAAGGGGTTTCACCATGGATGTGAGCTGTTTTTGTTGTAAGAATGATGAAGATGATGTTGACCATCTCTTTAGGAAGTGTAGCCAAGCCACAGAAGTTTGGGTTGCGTTTCTTCCGTATGCTGAGAGGTTCAGGCTGGATTCCATTTGATGGACTTAATGGATGGATGAGAACTTAAGGGGTAACATTCGAAATTTTTTGAGCAATGATTGAGGTCGTTTCTTCATAGTTACTAGATGGTGGCTGTGGATTTGGCGCAACCTGGCAATGTTCAGAGGGGAGAAATGGGACATAAACCAGGAAGATGAATTGGCTTCAGTATCAGAACAAAGAAATTCAAGAGGCCTTTGGGAGAGCAAAGAAGCCGGAAGGAAAATAGAACAAGTGCGAGGAACAAAACATGGACGACAATGGCATTCTCCAACCTAGATGGATGGTGGTAAATACTGATGCGACACTCACAATTCCTAGAGAATTGACCGGCTGTGGTGTAGTCATGTGGAATCATGAAGGGAGATGGATTGTGGGGTTTAGTTGCACTACCAAGATGAATCATGCTGCTGAAGGTGAGTGTTGGGCAGTGTATATGGCACTCCAGTGGACTTGGGAAAAAAGGGGTTAAAAAGGTATGGGTTAGATGTGATTCTAGCAATGCAGTCAAGTGGATTACGAGAGATGACATTTTGCTAGGACCAAGTGCATACATTGTGAAAGCTTGCAAGCAGTGGATCAAAAGAACTTGGGAAGTTAAAATCTCACATATTCCTAGGGAACATAATGAGGCAGCAGACTTTAGAGGGCAAAGATGGCTGTCCAACAGCGTTGTGATTGGATTGAACTTAGGGATCTCCCAGCGAGCATTCAGAGCTAGGTACCTTGATAATGAGCAACGCATGGCTGCCACGAGTGGCAGCTTTGCAAGAGCCACATAATTAGCTGGTAGGGTCTCCCCTTTCCTCTTCTCAAAAAAAAAAAAAAAAAAAAAGTAAAGACGAACCCAAAAAGAAAACAATGAATAAGTGAATTGAAAATAATGCATACCATGCCCCAAACTACATACGGAAATCCACCTATGGCATATAGCAATGTCGCAAGTATAATAGGGTGAATAATGTAGGTATTACGAATGAAGTTGTAAAAGAATTGATTCTCCAAATCCCCTACATTTGTCGGTCTTTTACTCTGCCAAAAAAAAAAAATCAATTAAAACACACCAAACAACTCTCTACCTTATTAAATTTTAAATGTAAGAGAATTTGAATAGTATAAATATTACCCTTTCAATAGCGGCTTTGGTGTCATATAGCCAACCTATAAGACTATACCAAAATCCTTCAATGGGATTATGGGGATCTTTTTTAGTATCCACATACTGATGGTGATATCTATGGTGACTCGCCCATCCAATTGGATCTCCCTAAAGCATAAAAGTTATGTTGTAAATAAAAATAAAATAAATTAGTGTTACTACTGTATTCATATATATATATATATATATATATATATATATATATATATATATATATATATATATATTTAATGAAATTTGGATTACATGAAGATGAGACCTGAAGAGCATGAACACCGCAATAGGCAAAAAAGTACTCGAGCCATTTGGGAAGTTTGAAACTTCTGTGACTCAGATTTCTATGATAAGAGAGAGTAATACCCAACCCGGTGATGATATACAAGACAAACGCAACGCCAAAAGCATCCCAACTGAAACAAAACGGGGCAAACAGACAAAGCCAAATTACCAACGGAAACAAGACCACCTTCGTCATCTGCTTGCCAGGCCCCACTTCAAAAGATTTCGCCATTCTTGTCCAAAACTCAACCCTCTTCTGATTCATCTTAATTATATAGAATAATTAATAGAAGATAAGCAGCCTGATCAGTCCAAGATAGATAGCCAGCAGAAGCAGAATGAAGAAGCAGCAGTTATTTCTGTTATTGCAGTTGATGGTAGTTAGTGGTAGTTAATTGGTTAGCCACTTTGGCCTTGCTCTTTCTCTGCTGTATATAAACACTCTGCTTCTCTTCATAATAAGATGATGATCCTTTTGCTTTCAACAGATTACCTTTCCCTCTCAAATCTTAACATGGTATCAGAGCTTTGAGTGCTCAACAATGGCGTGGACGCTACCCTCAGTCAACACAGTACGACCACCGGGTGCTTCCAGCTCGATTCCGCATCCAATTGCGACAGAAAATCCAGTTCCTAACCCTATTCCAACACCAGGAGGATCTGCGAATGCAGCAAATCCAACCTATTTTGATCCAAATGACACCACCAGCCCTTATTACCTGCACGCAAAGGAAAATCCAACTCTCGAATTGGTATCCGCTGTTCTTGATGGAACCAATTATCACGAATGGGCACGAGCAATGAAGGTTGCCCTATCTTCAAAGAACAAATTCGGCTTTGTGAATGGAACAATCAAGATGCCGAACTTAGACGATCGCAAATACTTCTACTGGGATCGTTGCAACAATATGGTGATGACATGGATTGCTCGAGTTCTGACACCGACAATTGCCCGAAGTGTCTTATGGATTGACACGGCAGAAGGAATATGGTCAGACCTGAAGAAAAGATTCAGCAAGCAGGACGTATTCAGAATAGCTGAAATCAAAGCCAAGATATACCAGACGAAACAAGGTAACAATGATGTGAATGAGTATTTCACTAAATTGAAACTTCTCTGGGATGAATTGCTGATTTTAAGACCTGCTCCCAACTGCATTTGCACTAAAAAATGTAGATGTAGTGTTGATATTATGAATAAGATTGCAGTTAATGTTGAAAATGACATGCTATGTGCTTTTCTGATTGGCCTTGATGACAAGTATACTGGGGCAAGGAATCAGATAATGATGATGAGACCCTTGCCAGATGTAGGAGAAGCCTACTCCATGATCTCCCAACAGGAGAGACAGTTTTCCTTAGGTGTAAATTCTGTGAACCCCTTTGGACAACTTACTGATAATGTAACAGGAAGTGCCATGTTTACCAAAGGAGAAAAACAGTATGCCAACACTAAGCAGAAAGTGGTGTGTAGCTATTGTGGATTCACAGGCCACACCATAGAAAAATGCTATAAGAAGCATGGTTATCCCCCAGGGTGGAAGCCTAGAGGGAGGAATGTTGGTTCTGCCAACCAAGTCCAAGGGACTACACAAGAAATCAACTCTGTTGCTAACCAAGATGGTTATAGGAAGTACCTGGAATTCCTTGAATACATGCAGAAGGAGAGAAACACTCCTCTGGACAATGGTTTTGCAGTTCAGAAACCCCAAGCCAATCTCATCTCTTCATCTCAGGCTCCTCAGATCAATACTGTCTTGGCTAATTTTGTTCCAAGTGCAGAAGAAGGTATAGCTACTCCCTACTCAGTCAATAAACATAGAAATCAATGGATCATTGATAGTGGTGCCACACACCATATAGTGTGTGACAAGGGCCTACTCACAAATTATAGCAAGACTTATGGAAAATATGTAGCCCTACCAAACGGAGACAAGGCTGCAATCACACATGTTGGTTCTGTCCAGCTGTCAAATATGCTAATCTTGCATGGTGTGTTATGTGTTCCTGTGTTTCAGTACAACTTGATGTCTATAAGTGAGCTGGTCAAGTCCTCAAATTATTTAGTGATGATGTATTCTGACAAGTGCACAATACAGGATTCACATCATGGGAGGATGATTGGTACAGCTGAGCTAAGGGATGGCTTATATCATTTAGTCTCACCAGAGGATATTCCCACACATTGTATGCCCTTAGTCAATCTAGTTGATAATAACATTTGGCACAATAGATTAGGGCATGCTTCCCATGGAAAAATAAAAGTGCTACAGTCTCTAAATGTAAATGTAACCATTGGGAAAGATACTGTATGTGAATGTTGCCATTTGGCCAAACAGAAAAGAATGCCTTTCTATAAGAGCCAATCTTCTACTACTGAATGTTTTCAACTTGTGCATATGGACATTTGGGGACCTTATCATGTCAAAACCATGTTTGGGCATCAATATTTTCTAACCATTGTAGATGATTTTAGCAGAAATACATGGGTACATCTTATGAAAAGCAAAGATGAAGTAAGACAACTTGTGCAGGGTTTCTGTGCCATGGTGCATACTCAGTTTGGAAAAGGGGTTAAGTGCCTGAGGTCAGACAATGGAAAGGAGTTCACAATGGCAGAATTCTTTCTACAGACAGGCATAACACACCAAACCTCTTGTGTTTACACTCCCCAACAAAACAGTGTAGTAGAGAGAAAGCATGGTCATATATTATCAGTGGCTAGAGCCTTAAAGTTTCAAGCTCATCTGCCTGACTATTTGTGGGGAGAATGCATTTTGCATGCTGTGTACATAATAAACAGACTGCCCTCAGCAGCTCTAGAGAACAAAATACCTTATCAGATTCTGTTTGGAAAGCTTCCCAATTATGAACATTTTAAAGTTTTTGGCTCCCTTGCTTATGCTGCACTTCTTACTAGTCACAGGACTAAGTTTTCACCAAGGGCAAGAAGATGCATGTTTATTGGCTATACTAATGGGATAAAAGGCTACAAACTTTATGATATGCAGTCCAGAGAAGTGTTTGTTTCTAGGGATGTCACCTTCTATGAAGATTGTTTTCCTTTCTAGGATATGACAGATGGTCATGGTCAAAAGCAGCCAATACTGCCTTCCAAGCATGCTACCTTTGCTGATAATGAGCCAATCACTCCACAAGTTCAAGAATTTGAGGCACCTACTGTCATGCCTGAGGCAGACCCACAGCCTGGGCCAGTTTTGCAACCAGAAATACAAGAAAGACAACCACAAGTTCCAAGTCTAAGGAGGTCATCAAGACAGAGATCAGTCCCTACATACTTGGCAGATTATGATTGTCAAACCTCAAGGGTTTCACCTCACAGCTTAAGCACTGTGATATCACATGACAGCTTGTCCCCATCTTATGAAGCTTATGTCATGAGCATTTCTTCTATCAAAGAGCCCAAGACATACAATGAAGCCATCAAGCTAGACTGTTGGAAACAAGCTATGTCAGCTGAAATTGATGCACTGCAAGCTAATCAGACTTGGCAACTGACTGACTTGCCCTCAGGGAAACAAGCCATTGGGTGTAAATGGGTATACAAGGTCAAGTATAAATCAGATGGGAGTATTGAAAGGTATAAGGCCAGACTAGTGGCAAAGGGGTACACACAAACAGCTGGCTTGGATTACTTAGATACTTTCAGCCCTGTAGCCAAAGTTACTACAATCAGAACTTTACTTGCTGTTGCAGCCTCCAAACACTGGCATCTTCATCAATTAGATGTGAATAATGCCTTTCTCCATGGAGACCTACATGAAGAAGTCTATATGACACTACCACCAGGCTTTTTGGCTCCAAAATCTGGAATGGTCTGCAAGTTAGTCAAGTCCCTCTATGGACTTAAGCAAGCAAGCAGGCAATGGAATGCCAAACTCACTGAGAAGCTACTCCAACTTGGTTTTGTTCAAACTGTGGCAGACCCTTCTTTATTCACTAAAGGAACAGGTGATAACTTTGTTGCCCTACTTGTATATGTAGATGATGTGGTCTTGGCTAGTCCAGATAAGGCACAAATTCAACTCATCAAGGAACACCTGCACAATGCCTTCCAGATCAAGGATCTAGGCCATCTTAAATATTTCTTGGGATTGGAAGTAGCCAGGAACAGGAAAGGCATTTGTATTAACCAAAGGAAATATGCCTTGGAGCTTTTGGATAGTAGTGGATTTATACACAGCAAACCTGTCAGATCTCCTATGGTGCCCTCAATAAAGTTAAGTAAGGAGAATGGAACCAAGTTAATAGACACTACTCAGTATAGAAAGTTGGTGGGGAAACTCCTATACCTCACAATCACAAGGCCAGACATCAGCTTTGCAACACAACAACTATCCCAGTTCTTAGACTGCCCAACAAACATTCATTTACAGGCAGCTCACAGGATTCTCAGGTACATTAAAGGGGCACCTGCCCAAGGTCTTTTCTTCCCAACCAATAATCAGCTATGTCTCAAAGGTTTCTCTGACTCAGATTGGGCTGCTTGCCCAGATACAAGAAGATCAGTCTCTGGCTTCTGCATATTCTTAGGATCAGCTCTGATTTCTTGGAAGGCAAAGAAACAAGTGACTGTGTCTAGATCTTCTTCAGAAGCAGAATATAGAGCAATTGCTGCAGCTTCTTGTGAAATCCAATGGCTATGTTACTTGTTGAAAGCCTTGGAAGTTGATATGCCCACACCTTCTGCTGTTTTGTTCACTGATAGCAAATCAGCATTGGCTATTGCTGAAAATCCTGTCTTCCATGAAAGAACAAAACACATTGAGTTAGATTGCCATCTCATAAGGGAGAAATTGCAGAATGGAGTAATCAAGTTGCTACATGTTTCATCCCAAAATCAGTTAGCAGATGTTTTCACCAAGCCTCATGCTCCAAACACTTTCTTGTCCTACATATCCAAGCTTGGTCTACATAATATGTATGATCCAGCTTGCGGGGGGATAATAGAAGATAAGCAGCCTGATCAGTCCAAGATAGATAGCCAGCAGAAGCAGAATGAAGAAGTAGCAGTTATTTCTGTTATTGCAGTTGATGGTAGTTAGTGGTAGTTAATTGGTTAGCCACTTTGGCCTTGCTCTTTCTCTGCTGTATATAAACACTCTGCTTCTCTTCATAATAAGATGATGATCCTTTTGCTTTCAACAGATTACCTTTCCCTCTCAAATCTTAACAATAATTAGCTTGCTAGGGGCTTCAATTCTCTTATAT